CTATGATACTTGGTGACTTAATCAAACACAAATCTATGTGTTGCTGTGAAAGTATTTTGAAGATATGTTAACACCTATAATCAATTACCCTTAGGAGATTACCCCCAAGACATGAGTGGGCCTAATCTAATCGGTTGAAGGCCTTAAGAACAAAAACAGGTTTTCCAGAGAAGAAATTCTGTCTCAAGATTGCAACATCAACTCCTGGCTGAATTTTCAGCCTGCTGGTCTGCTCAGATTTCAGACTTGCCAGCCCTCACAATTGCATGAGTCAATTCCTTAAAATAAATGTATATTTATATTTATATTTATATTCATATTCATATCTCCTATAGGTTCTGTTTCTATGGAAAACCCTGACTGATAAATCATATGTATGTATCTGAGTATTAGCTAATGTTCTTGAGATGGACGTTCAGAACCATTCAATCTGGGTAAGCCTGCTTTCTGCCCCTTTATGAGTTTGTACTAAGTGAATTGTATTCTTAGTTTCAACCCAGATGCCACACAGTGCTGTCGAGGTGGGAAGTGAGACAGATGTTTGGGTGTCAGGCTGCCAGGGGATGTTCACAGGGGAGCTCAGGGTGTGAAGAGGATGAGCAGGGAGCATTCACTGATTGGGGGTCTGCAGGGTTCAGACCCGTGTCCCACTCACAGCCTGAAGCAAAGACCTTCCAGGAGGAAGCTTTGAGGACAGAATGTGGAGAAGCCTTCTCCACATGCTAATGGCATACTGAGGAAGGACAGGCTTCCTGGGCCAGAGGGAAAAGCCAAACAAGAGTACATCCTACAACAGAACAATTTTTATCAAATGTAATGACACAGGCAATGAGAACATAGGTAATTTAGAACTAAAATTCAAGCCTGATGTGCAATGTTAAGAAAGGCTGTAAATGATAAAATTATTTCCATGTGCAAAGAATGCTATTATTTGTTCCATTCTTTACAAGCGAGTTCTAGTCTCTGCCCGTGAATGAGTCACTTTCCTAAAATATGGAGTTCTTTGCTCAGAAGACCTGCTTGCTCTCTGCTTCTATTTCTCACAGCCATTAATGAACAATTAGCATTCATTCCTCCTAGTCTTTGGTTTCAAACACCTCAAGAACACCCAATAGAAGCAAAAGGCATTTCCAAATCATCCACCCAAATCTCTTAAGCACAGAACAAAGTTTAACAAAAATAAAAAAATGGGGGCGGTGGGGAGCAAAATCAAGTTGTAAGCTTGGTATCTATCTGTCTGTTTTCCTTGATGGGTGTGGCAGAGCCTGGCTAGCTGTTTACCACACCTGGTTCCTCTTCCTTCCTACCCACAGCTAGACTACATCTACCAGCCTCCTGCCATTTGGGTGTAATTCTGTGACAAAGTTTTGGCCAGTGAAATGTGGGGGAAAGGGGTGTATGCCACTCCCCAACCTGTTCTGCCCCCCCCAACCCCCAACCCCCAACGCCCATCAGAAAGACCTGTGTTGGACTTCATTTGAGCAAAATAAACTTAAATTCTGTTCAGTCATTGAGATTGGAGTTTATCTGCTAAGGCTGTGAATCTTTAACCAGCACCGTGGAGGAAAAGCCTTGCTTTTCATTTTTTAATGTACTGCAGGGCAAGTTCACATCAAGTTTGTTTTAATCTATTGATTGGCAATGTAATTTATAGCAATGTGGCAAATATAATGAAATGCCAAGTCAACCCCAAATGTGAATGCCACATAGAATTTATTATAATGAGATTGAATATGATAGAAATTAAGTATGACATTTCAACTGTAGATTGCATTAATTAAAATTAGACTTGAATGCTAGGAGGATTTGGGACAAGTTTTTCTTTCCTGATGAAAGGGAAACATGTGCCTGACATTGCTCCTCTCTTCTTCCTGCTGTGAGCATGGACTTAAATTTCTGAAGCAGCAGTAGCCCTCTTACAACCTGAGAGAAAAACCAGGAGAATCAGAGTCAGCAAATCCCAGTTTGTTTAAATCCTTGTCAATTGGATTTTCTGGTACTTGCAGCTGAAAACATTCCTAACTGATAAAGGAGAGATGAGAATAACAATCAGCTGTAAGGCAAACTGCATTTAAGGGCTGTAACAGGGATGGGGAGTGCTCAGTGATTCGGAGAGAGTGAGAAAGGCTTCGTGAGAGGTAACATTTCAGATTTGGGCAGGGCTCTGAGGAACGGGATGGTTTAGACTGGAGGAGTTAAGGGCAGAGAGGGCTGCATAAAGGGTGTGTGTGGGGGGGCAAAGCGTGGATCCTTTGGGGGATTTGTGAGGAGCTGGGGGTGGCTTATGTACAACACTGTAGAGAGTGGAAACTGCAGATAATAACTCCGGGGAGGGTAATTGGTGCCATCTGTAGAGGACCCTAAAGGCCTATCTACAGGTGGAATTTGCCTGAGCTGGGTGAGCATTAAGAAGGTGACAGTGACATCATCAGAGGTGCAGTTCAGAAAGATTGTTTTGGTGATAGATTGTTGGGGAGGCAGATCAGAGACTGAAAAACTACCAATTTAGGTTACTTCAACCATCCAAGTGAGAGAATATAGAGACCTGAACTAGAAGTGGTTATGAAAAGGAAAGAACAAATTGAGTGGTGCCTCAAAAGTGGAGTAGGCCCATGGCACTTAATGGAGGTGGGGCCTGAAAGCCCCTCCCCTTCCTTAGTAAGGCCTTGTCCTGCGTTTTGGAAGCTGGAGATGAAGTTCCTTTATGGCTTTTCCTTTGCCGGGAGCATATATCTGCCTTCCTGTGGACCCTCCATCCCCTCCTCTTTAGATCCTTCAACACCAGGCTCACATCCCACTTTAGAAAGAGCCCATATGCCCATCAACAGGAGAAGGGCTAAACTGTGGTAGAGCCATAGAATAGAATACTAATCAGTTATGTAAAGGAACAAACCAGTGATGCATGCAACAACATGGGTGAATCTCACAGAAATGATTCGGAGTGAAATAAGCCAGACCCAAAGAGTACACTCTGTATGATTTTATTCATATGAAACTCAGGAATAGGCAAAAAAAATCTATGAGGAAAAAACCCAGAACAGCAGCTGCCTTTGAGGGTGGGGGAGTGATTGGGAAGGGGTATGGAGGGAGTTTTCTGGAGTGACTGACAGAGGTTTGGGTGACACAATTATATGCTTTTGTCAAAACCTGTAGAATGCTACACTTTTGATCTGCACTATGTAAATTTTACCCCCAAAAGTAAACAAATATTGAACTCTGGTTAATGGTATGCAAGCTGAAGAACCTAGGGATGTAGCCTACTGATAGTTACAACTTACTTGGAAATTCTTCAAAATGTAAGATGGTTAAATATGTGATAAAGCAGAGATAGAAGTAGTCACAGGGATAGAATCTAGGTGATGGGTAAATGGGTGTTTAACGTATAACTCTTTCAACTTTTTTGTGTGTTTGAAATAGTTCATAATAAACTGCTGGGGGTAAAATGAAATTTGTTTTGCTAATTCACCTGTCAAAGAGAACGGGCAGTGAAAAGCCAACCTGCAGGCAAACTTGGGCCCTTTGAAGGGGGCTATGACCAGGGGCTGAAAAGAGGGTTTCATTCAGGGTCCCTGTCTTAAATGACTCTGGCTGGTAGGTGCACCAGAAAAAAATCTCCTCTTGTTTTTTTGAGATCTAGCATCGTCAAATGTCCTCCTCCTGGCAGACTAACCCTCTATTCCTTCAGGGTGTCGACATGTGTGTCCTGTGGCCTTGTGGTGAAGGAGTAGAGACCATCTAGAATTTGTCTTCCAATAAGTAAGTTTCAAATTTACTTTCACTACCCACTGCAAAGTTATTCGAAATACCACACAATGGGATTTGTTCTTTTTGTCCCAAGAATAAAAAAAGTATAACATAAATGTCAACATAATGACAGAACCACTTGCTGGTCCACATGAGGTCTCCTGGGGAACAGAACATTAGGAACGGTCACTAATGCAATCTCACCTGTCACAGGAATAGCACTTCATGCTGACTTTTTAGGGCTTCTCTCCTGTGTTTGGCCAGAGGTTCTATCACCTTTATGAGCATTATCTTTTTTTTTAAGAGAGCCTCTCGTTCTATTCTGTTACTCATTTAATTGTGTAGTTTTTTTCCTCCCAGCTGGAACATCCTTTTTCACAAGGTTCAATCTGCCAAAGGTCGTTCTTTTTCTGAACCCTTTCAGCAGCTGGCCGGTCAACCTTTCCCTCACAGTCATGTTGCGTCATTGGGTCAATTGCTATAGGTTTAGTTTAACTGTAAAAGAAAATATCATGTTAACTGGACACCTATTAGCGAGCTTGCTTACTGTGTATCTCTCTCAGCCATTGATATTACTTTTATATGTATTTTTAGTACGTATTTAATAAATGAAAGCCTTTAGTTCTTAAAATAGATCAGCAACACGTAGGTCTGATCTTTGTAATTTTTCTTTCTTCAATCTCATGTATGTTGACTTCTTATAATTTGCTTGTTTTTGTTTTGCTTCATTTAGATACCCTAGAGATAGGAAATAAGCACTCCCCAGTGACTTACAACCTTGAGGAGGCTTCAGGGTCATCTGGGACGCTTATTTAAAATGCAGACTCTAGGACCCATCCCTTGTACTGGTGAAATGGGGATGACATTTTGAGAAACGTGCTCTTAGGATGTAGTTATGTTACAGAATCTTAATCTCACAGAAATGTCAAATGTGCTAACCTGAATATTTGGAACATGTGTTTGTGTTGTATCATTTATTTTTACCTCAACTTATCACCTTATAGTGCTCTTCCATAAATTAATTTGAACAAAGTGAGACTTTGATTACCTCTCTTAAAAGATGAACAAACCAGGCACCAGGAGAGAAAGGCTGATGGTTTTCTAACGTTGGTCTTTGGAATTCTGTGTGACCCTTGGCTAATTTTATGTTTTCCTTTCTACATTTTTAAGCTGACTATGGAGATACATTGCCATAAGAGTCTTTGAAATTTTATATGAGGTGTTCAAAGAATAACAGGAGGCCAGCACTTACAAACTAGTGCAACTTAAGAATTGTTTTTATTAAAGAAATACAAGAAAATGGTTAAATAAAATTAAATGGCCCCAAAAGTCTTAGTGAAAACAACAGTCGCCCTGCTTGCTCTTCCTAACCTCCAATGTCCTTGATTTGGTTGAGTATAGATTTATCAGTTGAAAATAACTTTCTTCTCAGAATTTTGAAGGCAATATTCTGTTTTGTTTCTTTTCCTTTTATTCCTTCTCTCCTTCCAAGCATTTCAAATTTGGTGGGTCCAAAAATCAAAATCAAACTCCATCAGAAAATCCCATTACCTCCAACTTGAAAATATTGGGCTGTCGGAAAATCATGACGCATTTTTGCAACGAAAAACATAGAAAAAATACGTTATGACTTTTCCAACAACCCAAACTATCCTGCATCACAATTTTTCACTATGCCCAACTCTTTGGCCCAAGTTACCATTGTCCCTTAACCTGAATTTCTAATTGGTCTTCCTGCTTCTGTATTTTTTTAAATTGTAAAATATTTCAAACAAACCATGTATGGCTTTATACTTTTTACTACCTAAAGAGTATGAAATTCTTACATAATCATAAACATGGAATTGCTTTAGGTGTTTAGCATTCCTTGTTCTTGTGCATGCCAGCAGCTTCTAAATGCAAACACCTGGGGTTCTATTTAGCAACTGAAGTATGTTCAGCCCATACACAGGGCAGGGAATTGACAACCCTGGGACCAGCTCCCAACCAGTGATAAGTAGGGGATAAATGCTGGTTTTTCTTCTCCCCCATTTTCCAGATAGCTCAGCAGTACTTAGTTTGTTACCCAATGGGAACCTGCTCGCTGACCTTGAACTGGCTTTATTGTCTTCCCCGTTTCACTTACCCACACCAATTGGTGCTTTCTGGTGTCACCTATCAAATAAACTGCTTTCATTTAAATTCTACTCTTGGGGTCTGCTTTTGGGGCAAACCCAATCTAAGACAGCAGTGTATTCATTTCCCTGTCACTGGACCTCAGGTTTTTAGTTTTTCACTCTTACAAAGCTGCAACATATTTCTACAAATCTCTCTTTCTGTCTGTCTCGCTCTATATATGGAGGTTTTCTTTTAGTTTTTATGTGAGTGGAACTGCTGGATTAAATGGTATGTGCATCTTCAACCTTAATAAATATTGTCAACATTTTAAGACTGACAGTGTCAAGTATTGGTGGGAATGCTACATCTGAGATATGTGGAATGGTATCTTACTGCAGTTTTAATTTGCATCTCTCAATTACTCGTGGGAATGTATGTCTTTGCATGTATTTATGACATTTGCGTTTCCTCGTCTCTAAATGGCTTGCTTCATTTTCCTTGTTAATATCTGAGTTCTAGAAATTCTGGATATTAAGTTTTCAGGTTATGTTCCTTGCAGAGAGTGCCACTGTTTTTTTGTGGTTTGTTGGTCTTATGCAGTTTTGATTTTCCATTCTGTGTGATCTGGTTTTTTTTCGCCTCTATGAAAGATTTTTAGGAAATTTATTTCTACTCCTGATGTTCTGTATCCTAATTTTACTGCTGAATGTAAAGGGATCAATTTATTTTCTTAAGTAATTTTTCATGAACATAAACATGTTTCAAAAAAATCTAATCACAATAGACATACCTAATGCATAAAATAACACATCCAACTGATAGTGTCAACAGTTTGCAGCATACTTTTTCCTACACGTAGTTACATTTATTAAAAATTTTGGAAACTACACAATTTGCTTCTTTCGCTTAGCAATCTTTGGCATTTTTTTTTGGTCAGTACTTACTTCATTCTTTTTAACTGCTGAAGGATATTCAATTTTATAGATACTGGTTAGTTCTTTATTGTTCAACATTTGGGCTGTTTCCAAGTTTTAAAAAATGGTGCAATAAATACTGTTGGGTCCATCTCTTTGTTCAGGATTAATTTCTAGAAGTGGAAGTTCTGGGTCCAAACTCAGGATATTTTGAATTTTAATTGTTATTGCTAACTTATAATCTAAAAAAGTTGTATCAATTTACAAGGCAGAAAATGCTATTTCTTTGGGTACCTAAAAATCCAAATATTTGCTAACATGATGGGTAAAACATGCTTTAACTTTCATTTTTTATTATGTGAAGTTTATTTTATAACTTACTAATTTTGGTTTCTAGAGATATCTATTCTCTTTGAATTTTTAATTTTAGTCATATGCTTCCTATTAGATTACTCATTTTTGTAAAGAGCAGCCTATTCTTGTTCTATCATTGTAACATCCCATGGAATCTCAAGCAAGATCAAAAAGTTTTTAAAGGTCTCAGACTTTCTCTTTTAATCATCAAAAAGGTAGTCCTTACCTGTCTCTTTACTATCCCTATGGAAAATAATGAAGTTTTCAACTTAGTGATTCCCTGAATGAATAGAACTTTTTTCAGAAGCGTGATGTGCATAGAATAATTCATGGTCCCCTTTTTTGATCTAATTGTCTTTTACTATCTGAGTTCTAACTCTTCTATTTATAACCCATGTCTGACATTTGGACTAATCTGTCTAGCTCCTATCTTTATAGGTCTTGGTTTCCACTTACGCTATTAGGGGAAGAATCCACTGTGACATCTTGGTAGATATGCTACCCTAGGCAGGTGGATAGTTACAGTAAGATATTTCACAAATGGTATCTGCTATAGCATAGTTAAGATTAATTTTAACCAAATCTAGTTAAGATTAAGATTAATTAGTTAATAAAAACACATTGCTTAGAAATAGTTATCCATATATCTAAAATCTACAGAAGTAACTTTTTCTAATGTTAAAATACATAATTGTTTGGAGGGGATGGGGAACAACTTGAAATAAATCAGAAAACAACTTTACATTAATCATTCCTTTTTTTCATATACTTCAAATTTGTACTTAATGCCTTTCTCCTCCTGGACATCAGACGGAATACCTGGGTATCTGTAAAAGAAATACATATATAATTAAATAATGTGTCAATAAAAAAGATAGCTTCCTTGACTCTCAATCAAATGGTATCAACAATGCATAAGGTAAATAAAAGGTTTCCTTTCCTTTTTTTCTTCACAATGGTAAGCCACCATTAAAAGGTGGCTTTTTATAGGTGAGTATTATGCAAATATACTATATATGCAAACAGGAAGAAAAAATGTAAAACTGTATAAAGTTAGAAAAACTGTATTTTTTCTTCCTCCTTTCCTGACTCCTAATTCTCCCCAGAACTAACTGCTGTTAGCAGTATCTTTTATCTTTCCACTGTATCACCCAGCTAATATGAAATTTTTAAAGAATGCTTTCCAAGTCTTACACTTGGTATTGAATTTCTTGTGTGAGCAAAAAACCAAAATACAGCCTTTAGCTGTTTAGAGCAGAACTGAAGTTATGTGCCCTGCATGCTGATAGATTCTTTTTTTTTTTAAAAGATTTTATTGGGGAATTGGGGGATGGGAACAGCATTGGGGGATCGGGGAAGGGGAACAGACAAGTTTCTGTCCTTTTGTTCTTCAGTCTAGTTGTGGAGGACGTTGCTTCACTGGCCCATGTTGGTATTATCATTGCGCTCTTCCTGGATGAGGCAGATAGGTCGCCGGTCACTGGACGGCCGCTCACAGTGGCTCTTGGCAGCTCACGCTGGCTGCCGGCCGCTCATGGTAGCTTACAGGAGCCCACTGCAGCCTATGCCAATGCAGGCGACTCATGGCAGCCCAGCTCCAGGTCGAGCTGTTGTTCACCATCTTAGCTGTAGAGGGCGCAGTGTCACTGGCCCTAATGTGGGATCCGAACTGGGGCCCTGCTGCTCAGAGCTGGCGTTTCAAGCCAACTGTTAACCAACACACCACTCGGGCATCCCCCATAGTGATAGATCCTTGATTTCTGTTTAATCAATGGACACCATAGTGCTCTAATTCCCCAATGTGTGGCTTATTGCAATTCCTTTCCTCGAATCGCTGTTTATCTGATCCTTTCTATTCCCTCTCACTTAGATCTGTGTTCCCTCCGGATTCCAATTCAAAACCCAGACCCTCCTTTGGGTATATACCCAGAAGTGGGATTGCTAGATCATATGGTAGTTCTATTTTTAATTTTTTTGAGGAACCATCATACTGTTTTCCATGGTGGCTGTACTATTTTACATTCCCACCAACAGTGTTCCAATTTTTCCATAGCCTCACCACCAGTTATTATTATTTTTTTTGGTAACTGAAATCAGTCATAATAGCCAAGGTGTGTAAACAGCCTAAGTGTCCATTGACAGATGAATGGATAAAGAAACTGTGGTATATACATATAGTGGAATATTATTCAGCCTTAGAAAAGGAGGAAATTCTATAATATGCAACAACGTGGGTGAACTTGGGAGACATTATGCTTAGTGAAACAAGCCAGTCACAGAAGGACAAATACTGCATGATCCTACTTATACGAGATATCTAAAAGAGTGAAACTCATAGAAACAGAGAAGGATGGTTGACAGGGCTAGAGGGAAGGGGGAAACGGAGTTGCTGTGCAAAGGGTATAGTTTGTTATGCAAGATGATTAACTTCTAGAGATCTCCTATGCAACATTGTACCTATAGTTAACAATACTGTATTGGACACATAGATTGGTTGAGTAGATCAGATGTTGTGTTCTTACCACAATAAAAAAGTTATTTTTTCCACTGAAAAAACCCCCACCACCAACAAGAAAACAAAACCCAGTTCCTCTACTGAAGGCTGTTCTGACTACACTAGTCTCCAGCCCAAGTCCAGGTGCACCACTTCCTCAGTACTGTGTGGGCTGCAGCCCACTGTGCTCCAGGTGGCTTACCACTGTGAAGAAAAAAAAGGAAGGGAAACTTTTTATTTACCTTATGCTTGGTTGATGCCATTTGGTTAAGTCAGGGAAGCTTTAATCAGACTTGTGTTTGACTCTGGTTCTTTTTTTTTTTTTAAAGATTTTATTGGGGAATTGGGGGAGGGGAAGTGTTGGGGAATTGGAAAACGGGACCAGCCAAGTTGTTGTTCTTCAATCTTGGTTGCAGAGGGTGCCAGTTGCCATCTGGCTGCCTGTCGGCAGCTCGTGGCCTCTAAGCTCAAGGTGCTGTGTTCAATCTTAGTTGCAGGTGGGCATGGCCACCATCCCATGCGGAAGTCCAATCAGCAGCCTTGTTGTTAAGAGTGCACACTCTGTCCACTGAGTCATCTGGGCAGCAGCTCAGCTCAAGGTGCCAAGTTCAGTCTTACTTGCGGGTGGGCATAGCCCACCATCGAACAGGCAATCTTGTTGTTACACCAGCTGAGCCATCCTGCTAACCTGTTGGCAGCTCAGCTTGGGCACAGCATCACTGGCCCATGTGGGAATCAAACCGGCGGCCCTGTTGCTCAGGGCTTGCATTCTTAAGCCAACTCTTAACCAACTGAACCACTCGGCGGCCCACTAGCATGGATTTTAAAAGACTGTGACTGAGATGTAAGATTTTTGGGTCCCCAAATGAGCAAGCTGCTCAGAAGGGAATATTCTCTAATGCCCTCTTCAGATATGACCAAGGTAATGGAAAGGGAGAACCTGCTGAAGGGCAGAGTGAAAAACCATGGATGAAGAACTGCTTCCAGAGACCACACCAGACTAATCAAAAGGTGTTCCCTATCCCTAGGAAGGGACAACTCCTATCATTTGCCAAGCTGTATTTCAGAATTACTACAGACCTTGTCCACTATTGTTTGCAGACTTCTGTGCATTTCTGTCAACCAAAATATTAGAAAAATTAGAAAAGCATATCCACATCTTTATTTTTTTTAAACTGTCAGTTATATTTCATTCAAATTTTATTTTAGACAGAGAAATGCACAGAAGTATTCCAAACGAGAGCTGGGACTTCCATGAATGAAGAAAAAAATGTCCCATTGAGTGGGAAGCTAGACTAGATAATGTCTTTCAGGGTCCTTGCAAGGCTAAGATTTTCAGATTCTTTTAGAGTATGCCAGTCACTTTAATTATCACATTTAAAACAACAGATTCCATGTTATAGTAGTAAGCTAAAAAAACAAATGTGGTATTACCAGTTCCAAAAGCAGAGAAAAAACACTTCACTTGAAATTTGCTATTTAAATGGTATACCAAAGGCAGAAACAAATAATGCTAAAATAGAATTCTTATTAGATCATGGCAAGATTCTTCTCAAGCTGCAGAACAGTTTCCTTCAAGGCAGAATCCTCTGCCCAATTGACTTTACTCCCCAAAATGAGATTCTGGAGCACATGTTGAATAACTGTAGTAATTTGTATCTCCATCTGTAGGTTTCGTTGTAAGGTCTTTATCTTGTCTGAATTTTCCATACTGTCCAAATCATCTTTTTGTTTGTTCTTTTCAGTCCGTATTTCTAAAAGCTTACTTTCTGAAGCTTGTTTTAATTCAAATCTCTTCTTTCGAACATCAAGCAGTTTTTTCTCCAAATCCCAAGATTCCTGCTGTGATTGCATTATTAATTTATTTAGCTTTAATACATGTTCCATGTTATCCATGAGCACACTAGTTTGGATGTTACTTTTCTCGAGGTTTTTTCTAAGTGCAATTGAAAGTTGCATCCTGTCTAATGCAAGCTTTTTCATTTCAAAAGCAACTTTCGCCTCTTCAATTTCATTTTCCAGGTCTTCGATTTTAGTTTCAATTTGCTTTTCTGGAATGATTTCTTCTGGAGTTTTTTCTTCATGTGCATCAACCATTGATTTATATTCCAAGAGTTATTGCTTGGTTTGTGCTCTCAGCCTGAGCAACAGAGTCATATGGTCCTGTCCTCCAAGCACGCCGCCTGGGCGCCAGCGACCGACAACGGCCCGCCTTTCCCTACAGAGTCCGCGAGCTCCTCGGGTTGGCTTCTCCATCTGGCTGGCTCTAAGAAATACCGTGTAGAACCTGCAGACGCCGTCTCAAAAAGAAGCCACTTTTCCTGCCACTTGACTCTGGTTCTGCTGTGTGACACTTGGCTGTCAATGAGTCTTCATTCTTATAAAGCATTTAGCATTAGGAGTACATTAACTGCTCTGCAAATGTTACCCATTAATATTATTAGTTTGTTTGGTTCCCCTATTTTCTAAACTCATTGTAGGTAGGGATAATACAGGAGTAAATTTAAATCTCCTATGATATCCAAAACAATACCGAATAATAAAAGGCATTAAACTTTTGTTGTCTAATTAGATTATTACATTTTGATAAAAAATATAATTAGATACATGAAGTAACAATAGCATAATGTATAAAGAAAAGAAAAAGGTGTTTTCTCTTGAAAAATTTATATTCCTCTTGAACAATTTGTTTCTATTTACTACCCATTTTTTGAGCTGTTTAGTAGCAGTATAGCTTTTTTTCTTAAAGAAATGACTTGACTAGGCCAACTTTTAACCACAATTTTAATATATTTGGAATGAGTGACTCACCAAAATCAACAAGTACATTTGTGTGTGTGTGTATAAAATTCTCAAGATTATCAAGATTGCCAGTTAATAAAATAAAAGCAAAGTATTAAAGTTATTTTTAAAACCATGAATAATAACTTAGAAATACTATGCTACTGGCTGGATATGCTCACTAGCCATGGTATTCATGTTAATCTTCTCTGTGCAACTAAAATTAAATTTTGCTTAAGATTAATTTGACTTTCCACAATATTCACATATTCAGTCTGTTTTCATAATGATTAAACTACCTCATAATCATAACTCCAAACCTTTTTGAAGAGCTGCTTAAGAGCCACATCTAAACTCTGAGTTTAAAGTCTAACAGGATTTGGAAAAAGCTGCTATTTGTTATGAACCAGCCAGAGACGCCCCCTCTAGAATCTTCAAGCATTTAAGAAGCTAATGAATAAAAGAACCATGAGATCAGAATTGATGAAGCATCACAAGAATACAGAGATGAGTTGAAAGTCTGAGATAGAGGGTAAATAGAGTTCTTGAAAGTTATTTATAAGAAACAAACCACAACGAAAATAAAATGAGGACTCTATAGGAAGCATGGGCTCAGGAGGAGAGGGATGTACTAATGTGGACAGATGCGCCAGGATCCCGTTGGACAGTCAGGAAGTAATGGAACAGCAGAGGAAACGTCAGCCCACTGAAAACCGACTTCACGTTGTCCCCTGATAGGAGACATCTGTCCCAGCTCTGGGGCCACTACTTCCACAAAGGCCGCTTTCCTCTTTGACTGACTGCATCTCACATGGAAGGTGAGTAACTAGAAAGAGAAGCCTGTTGGGGGCTGATGAAGCAGGAAACTGCTGGTACAGAGTATTTGGGCCTGCTGGTTTACTTGGAGCCAATGTGAAATAGTCTGGGATAAAAAATTTTTTCAGGCAAGCTGAGGACAGAGACTTAGAGGACAGGCTGGCACGGTGCTGTCCCAAGAGTAATTACATCGAGGGCCGGCCGAGTGGCACGATGGTTAAGAACTGGCTTGAGACGCCAGAGGGCCCCGGTTCGGATCCCACATATGAGGGCCAGTGACACTGCCCTCTACAGCTAAGATGCTTAACAACAGCTCAACCTGGAGCTGGGCTGCCGTGAGTCGCTGGCGATGGCGTAGGCTGCAGCCCCTGTGGCAGTGGGTTGCCATGGGCTACCGTGTGTAGCCAGCAGCCAGCGTGAGCGGCCAGCAGCTGCAGTGAGCGGCCGTCCAGAAGCCGGTGACTGATCTGCCTCGCCCGGGAAGAGCGCAATGATGGTGCCAACTTGGGCCAGTGAAGCAACATCCTCCACAACTAGACTGAAGAACAAAATGACAGCAACTTGTCTGTTCCTATTCCCCAATTCCACAGCGCTGTTCCCATCCCCCAATTCCCCAATAAAAATCTTTAAAAAAAATAAAATAAAAAAAAAAAAGAATAATTACATCGACAATGACCCAAGCGGGTGTTGTGTGGGCAGACACAAAGTAAAACTATGTTACTTTGTTAAAATTGCCTTCTGCTTTTAGGTTTCCACATGTAGCATTATCTACATTCTAATTTTATTCTCGTCATGCTTCATGATAGTTCTCTGTCATTTTTATTTTGTTATACCAGTGCTTTTATTACCAGGAAGTATGGTGTTAATAAAAGCGTGTTGAACTGAAACCTATGTAACCACAAGAAGCCCACTGATAGGGATAATGGGGGTCTAAACTAAGTAGGAGCAGTGGGGAAAGAAGAAGTGAGAATGATCAGAGTTCGTTTCTGGACAATAGGGAGCAATTCTAAGTTCCCCAATGTACAGAGATTTGGAGAGAACACAGCTCAAGAATTGAGCAATATTAGACTTCCAGGGACAAAATGTATTCGTTTTATCTTCAGAGGTTTCCTTTTTCTTTATTTCATGAAGGATGACCTACTCCAACCATGTTAAAGAAGCCGTCATTATTATTTTGGTGGAAGCTTGAAAGTAAGATGACCATCAAATGCTGTAATGGCAAAGGACTTTTCATGTTCGTCCATAGCTTTGTTTAGAGGGTCCATTTTGGAGCAATTTTCTTGGATTTTGGCTTTGGATAGCAATTTCCTATCTGAATCTACTCACCATTAAAACTTTCTAAGACATTTAAAGAAGAATTAATACCAATTCTTCACACATTCTTCCAAAAATAGAAGAGAAACGAGAGCATTTCCCCACTAATTCTGTGAGACTAGTATTATCCTGATACCAAAACCAGGTGAAGACTTGACAAAAAAGCAAATTATAGCCCAATATCCCTCATGAATATAAATGCAAAAATCTTCAACAAAATATTAGCAAACTGAATCCAGAAATACATAAAAAAGATTTTCCCAAGTGGATTTAGCCCATAATACAAGATTAGTTTAATACGAAACTCAATCAATGTAATACACCATATTAATAGTGTATTAAATATTAGTGTATTTTTTTCTTATTAAAGACAAAAACCACGTGATCATCTTGAATCAAAAGCATTTGACAAAATCCAATGCTCCTTCATGATAAAAACACACAATGAGGTAGAAACAGAAGAGGTCTTCAATGTAATATCTTCAATGTAATAAAGGGCATGTGTGGAAAACCCACAGCTAACATCTTACTTAATGATAAAAGACTGAATGCTTTCCCTCTAAGATCAGGAACAAGACAAGGATGTCTTGTTCTTGCCACTTCTCATCAACATTGTACTAGAAATTCTAGCCAGAGCAATCTGGCAAAAAAAAAAAAAAATTCAGATTAGAATGGAAGAAGTAAAACTATCTCTATTTGCAAATGATATAGCCTAAATATAGAAAGTTCTATCCACTAACAGAACTAATAAATGAGTTCAGCAAGGTTGCAGGATACACCACCAATAAACAAAAGTCAGTTGTATTTCTATGTATTAGCAATAAACAGTCTGAAAGTAAAATTAAGAAAACAGTTCCTTTTATAATAGTATCAAAACTAATAAAATAGTTAAGAACATATGTAACACTTGAGTGCAAGACTGTATACCGAAAGCTACAAAACATTGCTGAAGTAAATTAAAGAAGACCTAAATAAGTGGAAAGACTCACATGTTCATTGTCTGAAAGACATTGCTAATAATATCTTCCAAAGTGATCTACAGATACAACATAATTCCTATCAAAATCCTAGCTTGCTTTGTGGGAGAAACTGACAAGCTGATCATAAAATTCATATGGAAATGCAAGGGACCCAGAATAGTCAAACAATCTTGAGAAAGAACAAAGTTAAAGGACTTGTACTTTGTTATTGCAAAAGTTATGACACAGCTGCATTAATCAAGACAGTGTGGTCCTGACATAAAGGCAGACATAGATCAATGGAATGGAACCAAGAGGCCAGAAATAAACTCATATTTATGGTCCACTCATTTTTGACAAGGGTGTCAGGACAATTCAATGGGAGAAAGAATAGTCCTTGCAACGAACAGTGATGGGACAACTGGACAGCCACTTACAAAAGAATGAACTTGAACCCTTCCTTACACCATACATGAATTAACTATAATGGATCATAGACTTAAAGTAAGAGTTAAAACTGTAAAATTCTTAGTAGGAAACATAGGAGTAAATCTCTGCGAGCTTGGATTAGGCAATGGTTTCTTAGGTATGACCCCAAAAGAACAAGTTACAAAAGAAAAAATGGAAAAATTGGACATCAAAATTAAAAACCTTTGTGCTGAAAATGAGATCATTAAGAAAGTGAAAAGGCAATTCAAATAATGGGAGAAAATTTGTGAAGCAAATCTGCAATAAACTTGAAAACAGTATGCTAAGTGTGAGAAGCCAATTCCAAGAAAGATCATATTATATGATTCTGTTTACATGAAATGTCCAGAAAAGGCTTATCTACAGAGACAGAAAATAGATTAATGGCTCCTAGGGCCAGGAGGGAGGGGGAGTGGTGAATGACTGCTAATGGGTACAGGGTTTTCATGGGGTGATGAAAATGTTCTAAACATAGATTGTGGTGATGGTTGCACAACTCTTGAATATATCAAAACCACTGAATTATATGTGTTTTTAAAAGATTTTATTGGGGAATTGGGGGAAGGAGAACAGACGAGTTGCTGTCCTTTTGTTCTTCAGCCTAGTTGTGGAGGATGTTGCTTCACTGGCCCGTGTTGGTATTATCATTGCCCTCTTCCCTAATGAGGCAGATTGGTTGCTGGCTTCTGGACGGCTGCTGACATTGGCTCTTGGCAACTCATACTGGCTGCCAGCCGCTCACGCTGGCAGCTGGCCCCCCCCCCCACACACACAGTAGCTTACGGCAGCCCCCTGCAGCAGGGGCTGCAGCCTACACCGTCGCCGGTGACTCACGGCAGCCCAGCTCCAGGTTGAGCTGTTGTTCAGCATCTTAGTTGCAGAGGGCAGTGTCACTGGCCCTCATAGTTTACGGCAGCCCACTGCAACAGGGGCTGCAGCCTACACCGTCGCCGGTGACTCATGGCAGCCCAGTTCCAGGTCGAGCTGTTGTTCAGCATCTTAGCTGTAGAGGGCAATGTCACTGGCCCTCATATGTGGGATCCGAACCGGGGCCCTCTGGCGTCCCAAGCGAGTTCTTAACCATCGCGCCACTCGGCCGGCCCTGAATTATATCTTTCAATGGATGAATGTTGTCATGTGTGAATCATCATCTCTCAGTAAAGATGTTAAAATTTTCATTTCTGGAGCGAACCAAAATGGTATTTGTTTTAAGTCATCAACGATCCTGAAGGGTCACAGCTTTGGAAAGAGGTCTGATCGAGAGCGATAGGATTTGGAAAGGCATTTAATATGGGGCTAATTCACACAGTAATCTATTCTTTTTGTTAATAGCAAAGAGAAAGATAAGAAATGAGGGACAACAGAAATCAATATTCACATAATGTGACAATCAGCAACCTAAGCTGTACAAGAGAAAATATGTAAGATGTGACAAAGAAACACAACTGATTTTTATATAAATATGTATGAGATCACTAAGTGGGACTTTTCTAAGTAGTCACCTTTGGAGATTATAAGCAAAAGCCTGAACTTTTGCTCTTGAGAACATTTTGAGAGTTCTTATTATAATTTTTCAGATTTCCTTAGAGTTAGTTAAGAGCCCAAGAAAATCAGTCACACATTTCATTTGATTGGAGACTAATACCTATTACTCTATAGAGTAATAGACTATTCTAAAGTTTAGCTAAAGTGATAGACTATTATTCTCAAGTTTAGCCGTCCATTTATGCAGACTTGGCTCTGAATGGTCTTTTAGAAGGTATTTACAAAAACACACTCACACTCAAAGAACAATGACTGGATTCAACAGAGAAGATTTGAAAGGATGTGTTAAAAGCTAGTCGAAAAATGCTGATATAATTCATCTTAAAGCGGCAAAAGTGCTTTGAAACGAAAATGCTATGAATGTTCCAAATCAGGCAGTTTCATGCTCAAGTCACAACCACATAGTAAAGCAAGTGTAAGCTGTTCTTTCCGTCTGCAGCACTGCTAATCCCTTCCTCTTTGACCCTGACTGCTACAACTAATCAGCCAGTCTCCCGGCTTCATTCTTGTCCCCTCTCCATTCTCCAGAAACAGCCAGAACAGCGTCACTCTATCCAGAACCCCCTAAACCTGCACTTGGTCTGATTCCTTTGGGTCTCCCCCTTGCTCACAGTTCCCACCGTGGCTTTCAGGACGCAGGGAACATGCCAAGTTGTTCCTGCCCTCAGGTCTCTGCACTAGCTGCTCCTGGTCCCTGCTCTTTGCATGGCTGGCTTCTTGCCATTAGGATTTCGGATAGACATCGCTTTTCAGAGAGGACTGCTCAGACTATACTGTATTTATCACATCACAATATTTCAGTTCTTCACACCCAGCTCTTTTGATGTTTATCTACTGTTTGTCACCCTCCCTGTCTACTACAAAGAGTGTAATCTCCTGGAGAGAGTAGTGACAGCATGTGTCTTGGTAAACACTCTCTCCCCAATGCTGGACAGTCTGATGCCAAACAACGATCTCATAGAATGAACTAATGACTACTCTATAGATTTCAGTACAATCATTATAACTTGAACATTTCCAAGTCTTTTAAAGCAGATTTCCAAAAAATTTCTCTAGTATTTGTCTATAAAACCGATCTGTAGACACATATCCTTTCCTATAATTCTTCAGCTGGAAATCCAAAAGTGCTTTAGACTAGTTAATAACATTTTACTTACTCTGGGAGAAGATTATATTTTTCCAAATCAATTTCTGGAAAAAATGCGTCACTTTCAAATTCCTGCATGATCCTTGTCACAAATAGTCTGAGATGGCCTGGCTTGTCCATGGCTTCCTGTGAAACAAAGTAAAAGGCATCAATTTCCTTATTTATCTGTGTCAAAAAGAAACAGAAACTCTGAGATTTTGGTTTCTTTTACTATTATAGTCAAGTTTGTACTGGGTATTAAAGACATGCTACATAACTTGTTACCTCCAAAAAAAGATATTTAAATATCCTATTCTTTACTTTGGTGCCCTCCAAAGTATGCTTTAGTTGAGAATGGCACTAATCATTATCAATAATTATGAGAGTGAGTTAAAATATATATTCTGGTCTCTAGTTGGCTTACATGAATTCTTTTTTCATTTAAGCATTTAGTTTTGTCTTTTTTCTTGTGGTTGTTTATGAATTAAGAACCCCAAATTATCTAGTTACTCTCCATCGAAAAATTTACATATGTATAGATGGATAAGATAGTATAATTTCATGAGACCTTGACTACGGAAAATTCCCAAGGACATACTTAGTACATTTACATAAAATTTAATAATGCTTCCATTTCCCAGGAGATAGTTACAATGCTAGTATGTGATTTATTCTACCTCTTGTTGCTAATGATTGTATTTGGCCTCATACTGTTAATGACTTTCCTATCTGCCATCTATAGTACTGTTGATAGTTTCTACAGAAAAACTGCTCTGGAAGGGCTATCGTAAAATTCTAATAAAAAGTTATGAGTCCTAATTGCAGCTCCAAGAATGCAATAACTCTTGATTTTCAAATAGCTTATTGGGAAGAAAAAAAGAAAAAAACAAATATACACACACATATATAAATATAACTATTCTTACAATTCCAAATAAGGTCAGAGAAAAAATTTTACTTTTTATTTTCTATACTACAGTTTATAGTAGGACATCATTTATTTATTCTCTTGTCCCAAACAAATAAATATTCTATCAGTTCTTGCTATTAGAAAAACTGAATGGGAGTAACCACAGCAGCGTTTGAAAGTCTGTATCAAAGTCAATGATATATGACAAACCTTGTCTGTACAGGTCAGATGATAAGTATTTTAGGCTTTGTGGGCAATATGGGTTCTTACCTTTGTAGGCAAAAGCAGCCACAGACAGTACTAAACCAATGGGTGTGGCTGTGTTCCAATGAAACTTTATTTATAAAAATAGGCTAGTAGGCCTGATTTGGTCCATGGGAATATAAGCCTAAATGCTCTACAAACTATTGTGATGTGAGGTAGGTGGATAATGCAAAGTTATAACCAGGAGGTTCTAATTCCTTATTATTTATATACATATAGATGTATCAAATATTATAAATGAATTTAATTTCAAGTACTTATATTTCTTAAAGAATATACTTTCAAGTGAATATGTTAGTGAATCATTCAAAATGAATACTGAACAAAATAAAGAAATGACTTGTTTCCTTGGAAAGTCACACTTGGCTGAAAGATCAAAGGAAAATGTCAATTTTACCCTTATTACAAATGGAGAAAATGTAGAAACAGGAACCCAGGAAACAGAGTTTTTATAATGCCATCTAGGACCCTGGTATACCCCTTCTTTCTCAAATAATTTCAGTGTATGTTACCACAGGCACCAAAGCATAGGGGCTGACTTTTTTCCTCCCCATAAATGTTAATCATTAGTGTTTTTCAAGAGCAAAAAAAATTCCATTTATTATCCTCATAACTTTTGAAAGCCGGAAATCATTTGGTATCCAGAAAAAGGAATATTTTCCCTTTTATCTACTGTTTTCCCTTATGATAATAAAATCATGTAATTTTTTTTCCCAATGCCCTCACATTATATGAAAATTGTTGAGGCAAAGTTTTATGCTTTAACAAATTCACATACATCTCATCAGTGTATGTCAACTGAGAGTCCCATCCCTTTCTCATAAATAACAGCCATATTTATCGTTGAAGAAAAGGGTATAACTCAGTGTATCAGGGCACATCCAAGGAGTAGAAAACAGCGCAGTCCAAGTTATGAGTCTAAGGGAAGGATTTAGAATGTTTTTAAATTGGAAACATCAACTATTTTGAATTGCAAATAAACTGGTAAAGACTTAAAAACTTACTTTTACACTTTTATTTAGTTTGCATGCTAGTATCAAAAAAAGAATAATTCATATTGACACTATGTCTAACTCACAGTTGGGATAATATGCTTCCTTTGCTCATGGCTCAACTTTTTAAAAGTTCAGATGACAGGGAAGCTGAAAGAAAGAGCAGAAAATTTCTTTGTATTTACAGTTAACTTACCTTATAAACAGCACTGCCTCCTACTATCCAAATCATGTCCACTTTATTTGTTAAGTCGGGTTGCTCAATAAGTTTTAAGGCATCATCCAGGCTTTTGGCAAGAAAATGAGCTCCTTGTGGAGGTTCCCTGAGGTTGAGAGAAAGAATTACATATAATTTCTATAAAATCCATTCATACTGGCCAAAGAATCTGTATAGAAAGCAATAATTATAAAACTAAAATCATCACACGAATTCTTTCAACAAAAACCAGTTAACACCAGTATGGCCTATGACCAATATTTTAACCCACATTCGCATATGTATGGCCCACAATGAATTAAAAAACAAAAACACTTCTGGTATCTCGTGATATTTATGGTGGAAAAAAGATCAGAGCAGTAGTTGTCTCTGGAGGGATGAGGAAACTTTCTAGGGGTTATGGTAATGTTCTATATAGGGTTGGCTCTATAGGTGCATACATAAATTTATCACAGCTTAGCAAATGTACACTTAAAGAACTGTATATTTCATTGTATGTAATATTTATCTCAAAAGAAAAAACTATAAATATTGAACACTAGTTAACGATGTGTATGTATGCTGAAGTATTTAGAGGAAAACATATTAATGTCTGCAATTTACTTTGAAATGCATAAAAAGAACAAGACCAATTGATGGATGGATGATAAAACAAACATAGTAAAATGTTAATGGTAGAATCCATGTGGTGTGTATACAAGTGTTTACTGTAACATTTTGTATGTTTGAAAGTTTCATGATAAAATGTTGGAAAAAGAGTAATATGTTTGAATCATTGTTATGATATTCAAGCTGTTAATATGTGGTAAGTAGGGAAAGGAATTTCATGTTTTAAACTATATAGAAATGGATAAAGTGTTAAAAAATGATCATGTTATTACTTTTGTAATTAAAAACCCCAAAAGGGAAAAGTTAATTAATTTCAGGGTTTACATTGAGTAGCTTAGTCTCTCCCAATCTCCACAACTGATTTTTTTTTGGGGGGAGGAATGGGGGAGACGGGGGGAGGGTTGCAATTCCCATTATAAAAGAGAAATGCATAATTAGGCTTTCATAGTAATTAGAAAGAAAACAAGTTATAATTAAATGTCAAGATTTTAGACTGATGCTTTAAAAAATTATATAATTG